CAAAGAAGTCGTGCATTTTTTAAGGGTTAAATTCGTTTTGAAATTATAATAGGATCGTCGGTAGGGGCAAGGGGGAGGGAAGAAGACCGCTCGATTTTCCCGCCGATGAACTTCCGTTCTTTCCGATAGGAATAGAGTTCCGCGGACGGGCGTCGCGTAATCACGGTGCCGGAGTTAATTAAAGTCGGTGAACACGGGGAGAGGGTACGGGGGAGGGGCTCTGCTCGGCGTGGAGTACAATCTCGAAGCAGCGATAAACCGTCTGCGAGCACATCGGGTGTTTCAGCGTCGAATCGTCGAGACTCCGCTCGGCCGGAGAAGCATCGTCGTTGCTCGCCGAAAATCAGCTGCATCGCGGAAAACACATCCACGCCCTGCGATTTTCCCCGCGGACTTCCCGACACCCTCCGACGGCCAGGGACGCGGCCGGATTCCCGTTTAAATCAGGGAAAAGCGGTGCAAACACGCGGCGATGAGTCGCCGCGCCGCCTCGGCGAGCAACGTCGGTGGCGTAAACCGAACAAATAATTGTAAATAATTGTAAATGATTCGGCGACGGGCTTCCAAAACGAGCTATTATTTCCAAACGCGATGGAACAATTTTTAATGGCGCCAAAGAGTCGTCGGAATCGGACTAGAAAGAGTTTTAGCGTCGGCGACCCGAGATTATCACTTTATTTATATAATTTATAGCAAGAAAAATTGTAAAACGTTCTTCTCAGCCCTTCAGAGCGGAAGCTGCTCTCGAGAGAAGAGCAGAGCAGAAGGAAAGCAAATCGAAAGCGCAACGCGTCGCGGAGCTGTGAGATCGGTGCGCGAGGATTCGGTGGAAAATTGTTTCAATAATTTCCCCGAAACCGGCGAATAATTTTCGCGTGTTCGCGAGCGTGAGCGCGAGCGCGACGGAACGCTCCGCGTTCTTTTCTACTTTCCCGGAGTATTAAAGTCGAAGTTGAAATATTCCCGGTGTTCCCGTTGTAAAAGTCCCGGGATGGGGAGGAGAGGATCCAGCACGGAATCCCGGCCCCGGAAAAATAGTGGACGCGTTACTCGTCCCGAATTCACGTTTAATTTCCACGAAGAAGTTTCCCGGGCTCCATTCTCCCGGGGGAACGCGGGCGACACGAGAGATCGTCCTTCGCCGGAAGTTAATTTTGATTTATCGCCGCGGCAACTCGAAAACTCTCGGGCCCCGCGAATCTGTTCGAGCACTCGGCGATCTCTCGACCGTTCTCCGTAATGATCCGTTTTACACGATACACCGATGCCAGAGAAAGAGAGAGGCAAAGAGAGAGAGAGAGAGAGAGGAGAGAGAGAGAGAGAGAGAGAGAGAGAGAAGCGACGGCAGCCGCGATAAAAGCGGCAGCGATTTAACGGTTCGTGAAAACACGGCATATGGCCGGCTCGATAGCGGCGTTCAATTATGCTGAATAATCTGGCGATCCTCTGTTTAAATAAGGCGGCTTTTATTAGCGTCAGATAAAGAGGCAACCCGGGTGGACGCGCGTTATTGTCGACCGGAATCGCTGCGCGGATCGACGCGATTTTCCCCCGGAAACTCGTCGTTCCTTCTTCCGCTTCGTTTGCTGCCGAGGTAAGACTCGAATCGCATAATATCGATATTATTTAAACGAAAATATTTCATCAAGAGAATACATTTTGAGTAAGAACATTTAATCGAGATGATACATCTAAATAAGAACATTTAATTAAGAGAATTGTATGTTCGAATAAGAACATTTAACCAAGAAAACACATCCAAGTAAGAACATTTAATTAAGAGAGAATATATTCGAATAAGAAATATTGTCTACATCATCCCCCTCGATCTTAAGATCCGAGCTTTCATTACGTCACTCATCGTTACACGAATTTCACGCGTAAAGTTCGCGACGTTCGAGGGATACGAGCCTATTTTTATTGCGCATTTTTATCGCGCCAAATCCTTCAAGATACAAATCAGGATCGCGATCAGGATTTCACGCGTCGCTTTTGCTACGAGTCCGCACGCGATCTCGCTTGTCGCGACATCAAAATCATGTTTCTACCTTGAAGCATCGGCTTCCCAGGAAGAACGATCGAGGGCTATCGAATCGCGGCACCGATCGAGCGGATCCTGCAGACGAGAGGATGTTTACCCCGGCGCCGTTAAAACTCAGCGGCAGGGTGGCGTAGCGGCGGAGAACGCGAGAGAGCCGAATCGTCGTCGTCGTCGAACAACCGGCTGGAAAACCGATAGCATCGGTTCGCTGTCTCCTCTCCGCCATATTCGAGGGGTTGCGCGGGCCGCGTTCGCAGGAGCCCGGAAGAATAGGATGTAACCGGGAGAGAATGGCCGTGGAAGAGCGGCATAAATTATTCATCGCAGCCGGAGCGAAAGGAGCGAAAGGAACGAAAGGCTGGGCCGGTGTCTGCCGATCATTAGATTGGTCGAGCGCCAGAGGGTCTGGCGGGTGGTTAAGTTGATCCGACATTAGTTACGTCATCCGACGAGGCGATGGCTTAGCCCCGGCGGGGAAGGGCGGGAGGGCGGGCGGGCGAAGTAACCGAATTCNATATTCCCGGTGTTCCCGTTGTAAAAGTCCCGGGATGGGGAGGAGAGGATCCAGCACGGAATCCCGGCCCCGGAAAAATAGTGGACGCGTTACTCGTCCCGAATTCACGTTTAATTTCCACGAAGAAGTTTCCCGGGCTCCATTCTCCCGGGGGAACGCGGGCGACACGAGAGATCGTCCTTCGCCGGAAGTTAATTTTGATTTATCGCCGCGGCAACTCGAAAACTCTCGGGCCCCGCGAATCTGTTCGAGCACTCGGCGATCTCTCGACCGTTCTCCGTAATGATCCGTTTTACACGATACACCGATGCCAGAGAAAGAGAGAGGCAAAGAGAGAGAGAGAGAGAGAGGAGAGAGAGAGAGAGAGAGAGAGAGAGAGAAGCGACGGCAGCCGCGATAAAAGCGGCAGCGATTTAACGGTTCGTGAAAACACGGCATATGGCCGGCTCGATAGCGGCGTTCAATTATGCTGAATAATCTGGCGATCCTCTGTTTAAATAAGGCGGCTTTTATTAGCGTCAGATAAAGAGGCAACCCGGGTGGACGCGCGTTATTGTCGACCGGAATCGCTGCGCGGATCGACGCGATTTTCCCCCGGAAACTCGTCGTTCCTTCTTCCGCTTCGTTTGCTGCCGAGGTAAGACTCGAATCGCATAATATCGATATTATTTAAACGAAAATATTTCATCAAGAGAATACATTTTGAGTAAGAACATTTAATCGAGATGATACATCTAAATAAGAACATTTAATTAAGAGAATTGTATGTTCGAATAAGAACATTTAACCAAGAAAACACATCCAAGTAAGAACATTTAATTAAGAGAGAATATATTCGAATAAGAAATATTGTCTACATCATCCCCCTCGATCTTAAGATCCGAGCTTTCATTACGTCACTCATCGTTACACGAATTTCACGCGTAAAGTTCGCGACGTTCGAGGGATACGAGCCTATTTTTATTGCGCATTTTTATCGCGCCAAATCCTTCAAGATACAAATCAGGATCGCGATCAGGATTTCACGCGTCGCTTTTGCTACGAGTCCGCACGCGATCTCGCTTGTCGCGACATCAAAATCATGTTTCTACCTTGAAGCATCGGCTTCCCAGGAAGAACGATCGAGGGCTATCGAATCGCGGCACCGATCGAGCGGATCCTGCAGACGAGAGGATGTTTACCCCGGCGCCGTTAAAACTCAGCGGCAGGGTGGCGTAGCGGCGGAGAACGCGAGAGAGCCGAATCGTCGTCGTCGTCGAACAACCGGCTGGAAAACCGATAGCATCGGTTCGCTGTCTCCTCTCCGCCATATTCGAGGGGTTGCGCGGGCCGCGTTCGCAGGAGCCCGGAAGAATAGGATGTAACCGGGAGAGAATGGCCGTGGAAGAGCGGCATAAATTATTCATCGCAGCCGGAGCGAAAGGAGCGAAAGGAACGAAAGGCTGGGCCGGTGTCTGCCGATCATTAGATTGGTCGAGCGCCAGAGGGTCTGGCGGGTGGTTAAGTTGATCCGACATTAGTTACGTCATCCGACGAGGCGATGGCTTAGCCCCGGCGGGGAAGGGCGGGAGGGCGGGCGGGCGAAGTAACCGAATTCTCGTTGACACGTGCATCGCCATACGTGTGGAGGACGCGAGGAACAAGCCAAATGGACCATCGGAAGCAAATAACTCGATTTGCTCGGTCTACGCGTACTTGACTGGCTGGAAAGCTTCTAGGGGTGGTTTCGGGTGGACCGGCCGGGTCGAGGGGGGTCGGGCGCCGAGGACGTAGAAAGTGGAAACGTAACGGTGCGCGGAGAGGAGACGAGAGGAGACGACGAGCAGCGACGAGAGGACGAGTGGAGAGGAGAGGAGAGCAGAGCAGCGGGAGGCAGAGGAAGGAAGGCAGGAAGGAAGCAAGGAAGTTATCGAGGCGGTAGTGTCACCATAGTCGTACAGAGGTGCCCAGTTGTCGAGCAAACTAGCGAGCCAGTCAGCCAAACAGCTCAGCCAGCCAGCCATCCAACCATCCAGCCATCCAGCCATCCAGCCATCCAGCCATCCAGCCATCCAGCCAGCCAGTCAGCCAGCCAGCCAGATCGCTGGCCAACCAGCCAGCCAGCCAGCCAGTAAGCGAACCAGCGAGTTCTTGTTTTATTCAGTCGGGATCATAAATTACGAATTTAAACACACAATGAAAGACGCTTAACAAGAAGCTAACGCGAGATTGAGAGGCCCCGCCCGAAACACCTCTTCTTCCGGAGGAACGACCGGCGCCGGCCAATCCGCGCAGAGAACCGCCCTTCGCCGTCCAACCGACCCACCGTTTCCACGCCAATCGACTCGTTTCGCCGGCGTCGGCCGCGCCACGGCCGACCTATCGCCGGCGGGCACCCGAGCCCGAAACCCGAAATCCGAACCCCCGCCGCTCAGCGACCATGCCGGGAGTAAGTCGCAGCTTCTGCTACCCGATGCACCCCAGTCGCACACCACTTGGCGAGTCACTCGGCCACCCCCCATCGGTTCTCGCACGCGTCGATCCATAGACACGGTCCTGCCGGCGTTTTCCGACGTCGTTCCGCAGTCTCTCTCTCTCCCTCTCTCTCTTTCGCTCTCTCTCTCTCTCTTTCTCTTTCTCTGTCTATACTATTTCTCTCTCTCTCTCTCTCTTTCTCTCTCTCTTACTTTCTCGCCGGTGTTTCTTGATCCCTGGGACAGCCCGGACCAGGCGACGGTCGCGAAGTGACAGAGCCTCGGCTCGCCTAGGATGGATCGCGAGGATAGTGACCGGGACTCGTGAAGCCAGCATCATCGTCATCGTCATCATCATCGGTATCAGCAACAGCAGAGCGTAGGTCGACCGCGGGGACACAGGAGGCTTGCTGTGCGACGAGTGCGACATGTCCGTTGTGTATCAGTGAGGAAACAGTGTGCGGAGGAACCGTCGTCGAGCTCTTGCGAAGAAAGAGAGAGAGAGACAGAAAGAGAGAGAGCGAAAGAGGGAGAGAGAGAGAGAGAAAGAGAGGACCGCGTCCCGGTTCCGCGAGTCTCTCCCAAGATTTTCCGTCCATTGCCGAACTATGCGTGGTGCGAGATGGTGTGTTCCTTGACCAGCAGCAACAACGCCGGCAGCAACACCACCAACGATCGCAGCAGCAGCAACAACAACAACAACAACGACGAGGACGAGGACCAGCGGAACAGCACCGGCTCGAAGAAGGCCTGCGACGACACCGGTGACCCGTGCCCGGAGGGCCGGCCGCGATCGCGATCCGCTCCGGAACCGCAGCCGGAGAACATGTCGTCGCTGAGCGACGCTCACAGACGGAACAGCCACCTGGAGGGCGACAGGAGCTCCTCGGCGGGATCATCCCTGGGCTCTTGCTCGCCGCCGCCGGCCTCCAGCCATTCGCCGCCGCCGCCGAGGCCGCCCTGGCTCCACGATTTCCACGCGGCCGCCGCGCCGCACGTTCTCCAATTCCTGAACCTGAGCGCGGCCGGCGGCAGCATGCTGGCCAGCCAGCCGCTCGCCGCCCTCCACTCGATGGCCGAGAGGAGCCATCACCAGCAGCAGCAACACCAGCACCAACAGCACCAACAGCACCAGCAACACCAGCATCAACAGCAACAACAGCACGCTCACCATCAACAGCAACCGCAGCCCGGCATCCAGCTGCCCAGGATCAGCGTGCCGTTGTCCACCATCACCCAGGGCCAGCCGTCGCCGACCGGAAGCGGCAAACACAGTCCCGCCACCTCCATCACCTCCGTCGGCAGCAATCCCCATGGGATCGACTCGATATTGTCGAGACCCGCGGCCACGCACCCGCAGGCACCCGTCTCCGCGACGCACGCCGCGCTGCAACCCTCGCCGCACCCCCAGCACATGACGACGCCTAGATACGCCATGCACGCGGGATTCACCGCTTCCTCCGGTTCGTATATGCACCTTCGTTGCTTCCTTTTATTTCGTCGGATCGGGGAACTTGTTCTCGTCGAGGGTGTTCGGTGTTCGCGCCACCACAGGGTGCTCGCTTCTTCGATGCCGTTATTTAACCCTTGCGTCGGTGACCGGCGGCCACCCTCGCGCGCATTCTTCTCGCAATACTTTCTGCTCTCGGTTAAATATTTCAATTTCTATTGAATCGTATCGATATGCAGGGCGTTCGCGTTTCAGTGTTTTTCCGCGTTATCTGTTTTAGACGCTTCGCTCTCTCTCTTTTTCTCTCTCGCTCTCTCTCTCTTGCGTCACGACGCAATACGCGCCGTGCCATAGTAAACGCGCGGGCTTCATTGTCGATTAGAGATCGCTCCGATTGCAAAAAATCCGGCCCCATTGATACAGCGTAGAAGCGAGCCGAGCCGAGCGCAGCAAAAACAGAAGCGCGTGTTTACTCGCCGCGGCGGCGCGTATTGCGTCGCGAGATATCGCGTCCGTGACGTAGCACGATCGGCATGCGTCGCGAAATATCTCGTCCTGTGACCTTATATCTACAATAGCCGTGACGCGACATATAAACGCGTTCATGGGTGCGGAGCGGGGCTAATCGGAGACCAGGTTAGTTCACGTTCAACCTTCTCCGCGTCGAGTCGGAATTATTTACGGTGCGGTCCGTGCTATCTAACAGCGATATTTAGGCGTCCCAAGCATCTTTTCCTCGCAAATCAGGTAATAATTGCAGTGCATTTCGGCGGGATATCAATGACGCCGTACGGCGTCGTGTCGGCATTCTAACTGCTTCGTTTCGCAGACATTTTCGCGAGCCGCGACTGTGCTAAGTGCGACGAGAATCCTCGTTTCTCGCGGTTAGGTATTCTGGAAGAAGGAGATACACAGGCATAGTGTTAATTTAATCGAGTATATTAAGCGAATTGGAGAAGAATTAGGGATTCGTCATTTCAAGCGTGCAGTGATCGATCGGTCCAGCGATGCGGAAATAAGAGTGACATACCGCGTGCGGTCTCACGGCTCGATCTTTCGTTCGATTCGACCCTTAATCGATCCTTAAGCTGCCGGGATGCTGGCCAAACGAATGAACTAATAACAACATAATACACGAACCGCGGATTTTTATGCAGGATACGAATTTTCCGAGACCATCGCGAGGAACAGATATTAAATGAAAATAAATTTATATTTATTCTTTCTTAATCGACCCTTAATCGACTCTTAACACTAGATTTACGGAACCCGTTAAAATGACGGACCACCAATTTTTTAATTCACGATTATTCGCATCGTAAAGATACATTTACGACTTATTTATTCAATTTATATATTACTCGTGGCAAATATTACAATATAACACTTGTTACAAATCAGAATAAACGTCTTATTGTACACTTTTATAAACCAATATAAAGCAGCCGTTCTTTGTGCTCCGTGAATCCAGTGTTAATAAATTACCGGGCATAGATGTCTCTTATTCTGTCCCTTAACTTATTAATATTTAGTAACTTTTATAAACTAATACAAAACAGCTGTTTCTTGTGCTGCGTAAATCCAGTGCTAATGGTCGCAATAAAAAAGCAGCAGTGCAACCGTACCGTTAAAATTCCTCTTACTTGTTTACATTTTGATATCTCAGCCGCGCGTTTTTCTCGCGATCGCGTAAAATCCGCGGTCCAATAATAAAATCGCGATCACGCGAGTGACGACTCGGTTCCCCGGGGAAAAAGCAGTATTTTCGACGGGATTCCACGTTCCGGATTTTTCGTCGCGGACGACGAGCAGGATCAAAATTCTCTCGACTCGAACCGGAAAAGAAATTCGTTTTGGCTCGGGCGAGCGGTCAGCGACGGTCTCGCCGATGAAGTTCAGAGAATCGAATCAGAGAATGATCCGGCCGGAGAACCGGAATCGGATGAACGGCGGCGGCACGATCCCGTGATCCAAAGTTAGCATATTTCGGGTTAACCACCTGACGACGGTGGCCAACTCGGCCGAGGGGCGTTCTGATCCCCGCGGAAACACGCGAACTATGAAAACACGGCCGGCGCTCCCTACGGCGCAGCCCTTCGACGAGCTTCCAAAAATCGGTGGACAACGCGGATTTCCGCGACGAGAACGAGACGACCGCGATCCAGATGATTTATAATAAACCGGCTCACGGTCGTCGGTTTAATGCGGAAACATTTGCGAACGCGACGCGACGCTCCGCGAACGAAAAGATCGCGCGCGCGCGCGTGCGGCGGTTTATTTTTGCAGCGGCGCGCGCGCGCTATGTTTGCTTAAAATATTCTTCCGCCGTTAAATATGCACCTTTTGACGACTCTGTGTACATCGGCGCGGCTTAATCCGATTTATTCGACACTCGGGACAACTTCGTATCACTGTCTATTAATCTCCTTGAATTAGCAGCCGCGCGGCAATCGTATTTTTTAGCCCGTCGCGTCGAATTAAGCCCGTTTCGCCGTGTCGGCTTCAATCGTTCAAAAGTTCGCCGGCTTTTAATCGGAAAGCTTGAATGATGCGACGATCGATCTGCCCTCCTTAAATTGTCCTAACTAACGTTTCCGATCAGACGAGAGACGGAGCTTCGACGCTTTGTTCGCGGTGTTCTAAAAGCAGCTGTTTTATCATAGCTTATAAACGTAAAGACGTTGAATAAACATCTCGTAAGTGTATCTTTACGGTCCGAACAGGCGTAAATTAATAAATTAATGATCCGCCATTTTCACGCGTTTCGTAAACCTAGTGTCAAATGAAATCGGTTCGAGATCAGAGAAAACGAGTAAACGAAATTACAATTGGTACTCGACGCTTTTTATTTGCTTGTTAAAAGCGCAGGAGCTTTCTGTGGGCGAACCGATACTTTTAATAGTAATTCTCAAGATCGTTGAATCATCGAGCTTTTAGACCGAAGCAGTTTTTAAACCCTCGTGCGATTTTGCCTCTCTTCAGCTGGCTTCGCATTGATAGCTGTTCGAAAATGAGAAATTACATATATTCTAGCATCGAATAAAGTTGAATTAGCAGATCGTCCCGCTGTGATAAACAAGACTGGACCTTTGTGCGAAATAAAAATTGTCTGCGTCGACTGCGTGACTTCGTTTAAAAGATAAAAGGCGTGATGTTTGAAATACTCTCAGATACTCTCAGATACCCTCAGATACTCTCAAATACTCTCAGATACTCTCAGATACTCTCAGATATTCTCAAATGCTCTCAGATACTCTCAGATACTCTCAAATACTCCCAGATACTCTCAAATACTCTCAGATACTCTCAGATACTCCCAAATACTCTCAAATACTCCCAGATACTCTCAAATACTCTCGGATACTCTCAGATACTCTCAAATACTCTCAGATACTCTCAAATACTCTCAGATACTCTCAAATATTCCGAAAACTGCCAGATTACTAGATAAAACATTTCAATAAATAACGATCATGGCGCAGATACGTTCCCGACACAAAGTTCGATAAAATTGAATGAGCGGAGGTTGCACAATCGTGTCACTCAAAAAAATGTAATTAATGGACTGCGCGGAATTTACGCGTTTAGGACAGAAATCCAAAAATAAAGCATAAAATAGTGAAAACATCGTAAGAATTGGCCTTCGCTGTCGCGTTGCTCTCGCACTAAAATCGCCAAGAGAATAAATACATTTATACTGTTTATTTCACCGCTGTTTCGTTCAATTCGTGCGAACAATCTTTATTTTGCATAAAAATCCACAGTCCAGCGATTAATGAAGCTGCTTCGAAGAGAGCGCTCGACGAAGAACGGCGGACGAGCCGTAGTGGTCGCGACTGGTTCTCGCGGTCCGCTCGCCATTTTGTGAATCCGAGGGCGCCGGGAGTGCACGGCGACGTTAAAGGGTTCATTCACAAACTTGTGCGCCCGTTATTAATGATATCGCGGCGCATACAAGGGATTATAAATTTAAGAGTGCGGCCGTCGAGCGCCGCCGCCGCCGCCGCTCAGAAACACTAAATATATTTTACGAACGAGGGTGGCGCGTGACTAGGGTTTATGAGTTCGTGAATTAGATCGAGGACAATACAGGTCGGATTTTAAGGGTCCTCGAATTTTCCGCGGCCGTTTGCTCGTCGGGAACGGCTCGCTCGGTGGTCGAATCTTTTCGGTTTCCGTTCCGACGTTCGCCGTCGGCCACTTTTGCGTCTCGCGAGCCGTGTCAACAGTTGATTCTCGACCGCTAATTACGCGCATTTGCGAGAGAAAAAATGTGCAGGTGAAACGTAGAATAGCGAAGAAATTAGAGAAATTAAGTATACCGATACGTCAATTATAATTTGTTTAAGAGAAATAGAGATTGAGAGAAATAAGATCGCACTTGTCTCCTACGTTACGCGATTGACGCAGATCATTTTTATTAGACGAGACAATCAAATGGATAGACAATTTTATTATAGTGTTTAAGAATTGCTGACATCTTCGATCTAAAAGCTGGTCTCGATGATTCAACGAACTCGGGGATTAATTAACAAGTATCGCGTCGCCCAGAAAGTTCCTGTGCTTTTTAACAAGCAAATACAAAGCATTTTTTTACGTAAAGAAATGTCTGTACTGAATTATGCGATTTAATTATATATATATATGAACTTTTCTAATATTTTATGTAATTTCATAATACACCGTTCGTAAACGGGGGTGTAATCGTGCTTTCTGCTGGTTTGGAACCGCGCTTTGGATAGAGTTTGAGGTTTTAAGCGTTACCAGTAAAACTACGATCTTCTTAAACAATCTGAAATTAGTTTCATTGTAGAACGGCCAGCTTCCAGGATCGTCGAAAACCGCACGAACTTTCCGGCCAAACGGATAGAATTGAATCGGTCAAAAGCGAAGGGGTGCGAGCGATCGTTTCGAGAAAACGAGCTTCGAGGTTAGGATCCGGAATTTCAAATAACTTGTTAATTCTTTATAATTTTTATTAGTCGAAATGTCGAGTGGGTGGTACGAATTCAA